TGTCTTCTGCTCCTCAGCCAATATACATCTTTTCAAGAGCTTCCACAAATCTTTCCCCAAAAGGAAAAACACCCCAAACATCCTACTGTTGTATATGCCTGAAATGAACAGCAGTAACATTTGTTTTCTTAGTGGTACAGATGTTAAGAATGAAGATCCTAAAATTTGATAATTTTTCTTAATATTCATAGTTTCAAGATAAGAGGAGGTTTGGGGGTTGTCTCTGTGTTTAGTGTTTTTTGTGTTTTTTTGGGAAAGGTTGTTTTGGTTTTTTCTTAGCTGGGCAGTTTTTTTCCTCCTGCAGTTTTTGGATGCAAATTTCCTGAACCACTTCCCATTCTTGAGAAACTCTAGATGTTTTCTCCATCTTTTCTGTGATGTACATTGATATGTGAAGCCCAATGTCATGATTCTAAGGTGATTAGTGCACAGTGGATTTGTTATTCCCTGCCTTGAGCACGGTGAATTTCTTCTGTTAGGAGCACAACAAAGACAACATATTCAGAACACTCCTTGTGGGGTACAGATTCTGCTGTGAAAAAGACAGTGATTGCTTTTTTTATTGCTTGAGGCAGTAGTGATATTGGAGGATGCCTCTCTCATACATATGAGGAAAGATACAGAAACTAACAAGTACATATAAACAGACCCTATGGTAAATCCAGCAGAGACAGAATACTCGAGCTTGGTATCTGGATACTTTCTCCATGGTTGCCTTCATGGCTCATGTGCATTCCTGTAGATCTTGGTTATTATCCTCCTCCCGATAATATCCTTTGCTTTCTCAGTCCACTGTGGCTTCAAGGAGCTGGAGAAATCTCTGCAGGAGCAGGGCTGGGGGGAGATGAGGGAGGAGCATGCATTTGCAAGGGAGGAAAGATCCTCCTTAGTGTGCAGGAGGGAGGGTTTTGAGAGTACTTGCAAATGTCTGAGATGCATTGATAAATACTTCATTGCTTCCTTTTGGAATTGCTGCATTTCCTTCAGGCTGACAGTCCTGTGACAGCCATGAAGATCCGTGTTTCTGTTGGCTAACAGAAAACATAAATAACGCTCAAATGGCCAGTGGACCATATACACAATTACATCTGTATTTGGGAAGCATTCCTGCCTTGGAATACCACATTCTAGATAGGGCTACTGCTATGAAATTGTGTTTTATGCACTATGTAGAAATGGGGAAAAAAATGTTGTCGATTGTACTACAAGTACAAGCCTTTTAAGGTTCCCATTGACAAGAAAAAAAACCCTGTAAATTTTGTATTAAAAAAGGATAAGGAGAGGAAAGAAGAACAAACTCCATAATGAGATTTTTACTAATAAACATATAGAGAGTAACTGAATCAATTTTCCTTATAATGGAATATGCAATGTACTTTATGCAAAAAATAAGGAATATTCAGAGATCACAAACAGACCAACTGGTTGGGATAGGTCACAGCTTGGTATTGGAAGGAATCATGGAGGATTGCCAAAATACTACTGGATTCCAGGTATGGAAATCAGAATGGTGCAACTTGCTTGTGAATCTGAGAAGAATAGAAACTGCACAGCAATTCACCAAAAATGCTACAGTGTAATGGTGATGGACAGAAGAAGCTGCAGCCTGGCTTGCGCCAATGCAAACTGCCAGCAGAGGCAAGCACAGAATGACAGAAAAGAAGGATTAAGGAGTAGAGGGACAGACAAGGTCATCAAGGTGCGTAATTATGTGGTTGCAGATTATCTTCTGTATTTGGTACCTGCCTGTCACATAAGTCTTATTTATACATGTTGGTGTCTCCCACTGTGGTTTATGTTCCCTTGCTGTTCTGTAATTTATTTATGTGATGGAATAGGGATGAATCCTCAGGAGAGAGCACCATGGGCTACCAACGGAACCTGGTGTTAGCAAATGCTCGTTTTCTGATTCCCCTGATGCCCCTAGATTTATGCAGCATATGCTTCAATTTAATTGCAATGGTTCTGAGTCATTGTCACTAAAACCTGTTTGGGCTGAAAGTTCCTTGAATGACTGCAAGTGTCAAATGATTTGAAATGGGCTTTGAGATTGCTGCTTGTAATATATGAGCTACTGAAGCTCACAAGAATTTCCTAGTTGATGTTCTCTGTAAGAGATGACTTTAAGGATGTTCTTCTATATATACACATACATACATACATATATATATATTGCACATATAAATAATACATAACACAAATATTCCAGAATCCTGCAAATATTCCAGAATCCTGCAAATATTTATAAACAATTAGTTATTACCAGTTACTTGATGTCAGTGGGGCAGGTCTTATTTTTATATTATTAAATAGCCTAATGATTGAATTAATTAACTTCTGCATGCTTCAATAAGAAATTGGTCTACTCAGAGTATTAAAGAAACAGCCTAGATTATTGTCTGTAATACTAATTCCTAGTAAATAACATCAGTGTTATACAAAGAGAGAAAAAATATCACATCTTATTCTTTCAAATTTCAGTCTTTATTTCTGTTATTACACTAAATTCAACCAAGCTGTGAATATTACTTTGTAGTACATGCTGTCACTATGTCTTTTCTTGTTCATTTGTTGTTGTTAGGACTCTGAGTGCCTCTAGGGGGTTTCTTTGCCTGGGCTTGAAGCCAGCTTAAAGAAAGCACAGCTGGTTATCTTGGGGAAGGACAGACAGAAGAAGCTTTAGTGGAAGTTACCTGCCAAAACAAGCCCCGTGGTGGGTTTCTGCCACATTTTCTTGGGAGCTGCTTTAAGCTGAGGCTCTTGCATGTGGCTGTGCCTGAGCTACGTTGCAACTGCACGGCAGTCATTCCTGTTCTCAGCACTTGATCTTGGCTCCAAACTGTGAACTTTTCTACCCCCTTAACTTCAGCCCAACTGCATCCCATGAAGTGATTATAGCATTAAAAATTTGTATTAGGATTAAAAATTGACATAAGCCTAACAGTTCTTGATATTTCTTGCCTACCATGTTTTTCAGGAGTATTTCCACTGATCTGAAGTATTCTTGATCTTGTTGAGAGCTACTTGACTGTGGACTTTTCCCAAGGTAGTAGCATTATTGTTTATGTTATCTAAATTATGATGATAAATAGTTAAATAGAGCTAAAGAATTTATGGTGCTTTACATTTTTAGAGTTCTAATATACATATATTCATCAGTTAATTTTCTAATTGTTCCTCTCACACAGTATGTAAGAACTATAATCAATAAATATTTAAGAAAAGAGCAGAGGCAGTTTACAGGCAGCTTTTTTTAAAAAAAAAAATCTTTTTTGTTGTTGTTAGGTTTTTTTAAGTATTATCCTAGCTTAAGGTAACTTGAACCTAATTTTCAGAAGGACTTGTGTCACTATTCAGTCAATTGAACAGCAAGAAGCATTTGGTGTCCTATTATTGTACGTGTAGATTGGTGACACTCTGGTGATGGAGCATGTTGGAGTTTAGTACGATCTGCATATTGAGCTCCTAAAATACAGGAACAGTATAGTGTGACAGAAGAGTTTGCATGTGGACTTGAGCATTTGGAGCTAACCAAAGCTCAGCTATCCAACCTCCACATAGCCTTCAGCTCACCACTTAGCTTCTTCCAATACTGTATTTTTATCTATTTTAGTGAACAATGTTACCACAGACTGTTGTTTGTAAAACAAACAAACAAATAATGTGGCATACTGGGATAAGTGATAGTAAATGCAAAAATTCTACAAAGTCTTTTTAAAGCTACACAAGCTAGCAAAATTAGGAAGAAAGGATCAACAGTCCTGGTTTTCAGCATGCCATCTAATTTGGTACTTCATAGATTCCCGTGCTGGCTTTCCACCATGGCATCTGAGCTTCTTTCAGTAGTGTTTGAGCAATGTGAATAACTTTGTTTCACATGTGGTTTCTTTAAACCACAGCGTCCCTCCCTTTCCCTCATGTAACAAGGTTTCCTCCTGGTTCTCAGGGAGCAGGTCATGATACACTGTGTGTGTCTACATATGCATGCTCTACACACGCATGCTCTATAAATACATGTATTTTCTCCCCAGGGTGATCAAAGAAGCTGAATCTTGCTAAAATCTAGCTTGAATTAAGTGTTTTAATTTTAAACTCAGATATGAAGAGTAAAATATAGGCACAAAGGTTTTTTCTTTTTGAAAACTCTTTTAAATAGGCCAAACCCCTTCTTTCCAAACATTCTATCTGTCTGTGTCAAATTTCCCAAGAGAAGTTGTGCCCTAGCATAATATTTCCAACCTGAGTGATTAATTCTGACAAAGATGGGAGACAGACATTGGTATTGGAAAAACTAAAATTTCTCTGTAGTATAAAGTAATTGGTCTTGTATGAAAACCATTTTTATGAACATTTTCTCCTGTAATAGTGGTGGGAAATGGTGACTATGAGGGAATGGCTTTATTTGTAATTAGGCTGATGGTCTTCTAAATTCACAACCTCAAAAATAAAGCCCAACAAATCTGAAACAGATACAATCAGTCGTATTTCCTACAAGACATTTTCAAACGATTTGACTGTAATTTAATTAGGTCTCCTCTTATGTGAGTTAAAAGGATTTGCTTCTTGAATTATAGTATTAGTCAAGTTGGAGGAGATTCTGGGAGGTCACTAGTTCAGTCTCCTGCTCAAACCAGGGTCAACACTGAAATCAGACGCTGTTGCTCATTGCTTCACTATCCTCACTAGCTGGTTGAAATGACCACTGTTTCCATCAGCCTCCTTGCTGAGGACATCTGTTCCAGCCCCTGACCATCTTGACTTTCTATTGGATCCAGTTTATTAACATCTTTTTTATATTGGGTTGCCCAAAACTGCACACAGTATTCCAGACACAGGCTACCAAATGATGAGTAAAGAGAAATAGTAATTTCCCTTGACCTAGCTCAGATTTTCTTTATACAGGTCAGGATGGTGTGAGCCTTCACTGCTGCCTGGTGTTTCTCCCACTGTCCACCAGGACCCCCAGATCTTATTCAGTGTCACTGAGTGTCCTGCCAGTCCCAGTCTGTGCAATGGCAGGTCAGTCTGGGCAAAGTGCAGGGCTTTGCATTAGTCTGTGTTGAACTTCACGTGGTTCCTGTCAGTCTATTCTCTGGCTTGTCTAGAGGCAGCCCTGCCTCTGAGCATTGAATATATTTATGGGATAAACATTGCAGCTATTAATTACTGGTTTACGCTGACATTAATAATTTTAAATAAAAATCACATCCTATTGAAATTTTAGAGGAAATGTCAGTGTCATTATGAGGTGGAAGCATTAGGCTTAGACTCTGAAATTCCTATTACAAAGGGTGTAAATACTTTTTTATTAGCCATAGTGGTTAATACCTTCATTTTATACCTAATTTCAGGGAGAACGAATGACTCCACAGTATCACGCATCACACTGGAGCACACGTTCAACTCCTGAGAATTACAAAGAGGATGGGGCCTTGTCTCTACTCTGATGCGGCAAAAAGAGTGCCACCTACTGAGCCTGTGGCTCGGTTTTGCAAACTTGAGTATGCAAAGCATAGTCTTTAATCCAAATTCTGACTCAGTGCAATCCAGGGTATTAATGATATGAGTCGATGTTGGTACACTACAAGATGTGTCTGTACAAGCCAAAGAAAACTAAGATTTTATATGCTGATAGCCAGGAGATCTTCCAATCTCCTTCAGTGTAGTAATAAAATAGTGACGTAACAGGGAATGCGTGTGTATCAAGTTTTGTCAGGGTAAAGCTGATAGACGTGCAGCCATCATGTAATCTCAGTATATGCTGAGAAAAGGAGCAAGAAAAACTTTTTAAAAGCATAGCAAAAGCTGTTACTGAAAAGAAGAAAATTATGATGGCTGGCTCTGGCAAAGATGTAAGGAGCATGTAATGTGAGGCATGGAGAAACAATTGAAGAGTGTATAACTGTAAAATCCTTACAAAACACTTCATAAAACTTTAATTGCTCAGTAAGATAAACACTTAACAAACAGCTCTGTAAACATCATGGTGTCTTTGAAGTGTTTCTTCTATTTTATATCTATAAACTAGTTGGCGTACCTATCTGCTTGCTTGTTTTTGTTCTCATCCCATGTGGTATGTTTAGGAAATACAGTCATCCTTTCCTATAGATTTTGCATCTTACAGTGTGTTTCAGCTTTGTCCTTGTGGTTGCTATGTTGTCTTTGGCTCAGCAGGATTCCTATCTACCTGATATGTTATTTAGGAGGGAATTATCAAACCCAACAAGTTAAAATATCTCCTAGAGCAGGGCAGAAAGCACACTCCCTGCTCGGCGCAATTTAGCTTCTGTAGCCGGATGGTGACGTTTCTGCCTTTGTCTGCTGCTTTTACGTGATTAAGTATTGTGAAATACAAGATGCTGCTCGTCATTTTGCTCCCAGCCTCCAAACAGGTGAAGTACAACATGCATTTGTTCTGTCTGGAACAAAGAGATACACTTTGCTGTTAGAACATTATTTAAAATCATAGAAGATTGGTGGGGTTTGGGTTTATTTTTGGTTGGGTTTGTTCTCCCCCCAGTGAAAGCTGACATAAGTAATTTCAATCTCATCAATATCTGATGTACTTCATGGGAGGCACCAATTGCCTAACATAACAGAGAGGAAATAACTCCAGTTTGTTGAATCTCTCTTTTCAATCTTTATTAGGGTAAATTAAATGAATGAGTTGTATGCCTTTGACTACAGCTAGTTATTAGATGTTCAATAATTTATGTTTGCTTTACATATTAGGTAATTTGTGAACAACTGGGAATATTCTTTCTGTATTGATTTAAATAGTTATTGACCTATTGTTCCTGTCTATCATGAGTTTGGAAGAGTAAATGTATTAATGGTGCTATAGCAGAGTTTTCCTTGAAGGTCCTATTGAGAAGGTCTTGCATCAAATGATACCTCTGGTTGTGAAAGAAAAAAAAACCTTTACCAGTAGTACCTGTGGCTACTATTTTGCTCTTCAGCACCATGTGTCTCACTGTTATCCTCTGCACCATGACAGGAAAAGACTGGGTGTGGTAATTAGACTGCTGACCTGGGACTCATCAGAGTAACCTGGTTATGCATCTGTAGTCATAGGCAAGTCACTTCTCTGGGCTCCTGTTTCTACACATCTTTTAGCTTTCCTGGTAAAAAGTTCTGCAAGGAGCTGTTGTGAAAGAAACACGAACTACAGTGAGCAGTGCAGAAGTTACTTCTATATTTCACTCTATAAGGCAATACATGCTAGAAGGGAAACTGCCCTGCTGGTCTGGAAGAAAACCCAAAATCTAGCAATGCTGCTGTGCTGTGTGCACTGAATGATCTGAGCCTGGATGGAGGTAAACATGTGGCAACATGCACATTGAAGAAAAATGTTTGGCATTTTCATGTTGCTCGCTGATTTCACTGATTGTGAGTCTAATCTGTGAATACTGTCTAAAGGTTATTTTATAATCTAAAAGTTTCGCTGATTGTTAACAAACTCAAGTAGCAGAGCAGTCTACAGAGGGAGCAATGACAAAGCAGCTTCTTTATTTCCTGCCTTAGTAGGGTAGAGTAGCGTGCCTGCATTTGTCAGCACACTGTGTTTTTCATTCTTGGCCAAGGCAGCAGAGGAAGCCATATTCCAGAAGAGGAGCTGGACATTTTTAGAAACCTCAGAAGTATGAGCTATTGTGAAAGTAAATTTCAGGTGCTGGTAAAACAGCCAAGAATATAGGCATGACCTGAGATTTGCATTGGACTAACGTCCTTTCTCCCTCCTTTTTTTTTCTTTTTCTCCACTTTTTCTTCTGAAAAAGTGAGAAAAGGGACCAAAAGGGGGAAACAGAAAAGCATGTTTTTCTTTGGTACAAGGGTTTCCTTAAAAACCAAAAGCTCTTTGCTTGCTTTTCTTTAGAGAGAAAGGACACGAAGCCTTATCTCGCTGAAGACGCTGGCTCTGAACTCGGGGCATCACAGCGGCGCTTTCCGCCGGGTATTGGACAATATTTTGCAGGGCTTGGCTTTCAAATCAATGCTGCAAACTCTCTGCCCGCCCCTCACTCGTTGGGGATTTCCTCTCCTTCGTTGCCAACAGCAGCGACAGCCAAGCGCAGAAGGTCAAGCGGAGATCTGTGGACAAGGGCAGGGGGCCCAGGCCCGTGCCGGCATGAGGCGCTGAGGGCCCGCGGGGAGCTGCGCGGTGGAGGGAGGAGGAGGCAGGCAGCAGGAGGAGGAGTTGAGGAGCGCGGGCCCGGGAGCCTCCCCGCTTGCTGCACTAGGAAGTGACGCTTTCGCTGAGTCCCGGAGAGAAAGAAACAAAGTTTGTTTTTTTTTCCCCCCTCCTTCTTCGCTCCCGCCCCCCTCTGCAAACAGCCGCTCCACGTTCCCCCGCGGCGCCCGCCGTGCCGCGCTGCGCAGGTGAGCCAGCACGTTCTCTTTCTTCCTTCTCCTGTTTTCCGCGCGTTTATTTATTTTTTTTTTTTTTAATTTGCACGATTTGCTTCCGTTTTCCTGCCATTTTGGAGAGGGGGTGTCTTTCCTGGGGCTTTTCTTTTGGGGGTGGTGGTGCGCGGTTTGTTTGTGGGTGCAGGCTGCAGGATGAGGAGCAGAAGTACCTGTGGAGGTGACGAGGGCGGCTGGCTCCGCGCCCGGGCCGCGCAGCCCCACGGGGCCGGGGCAGCGGCACTCCCGGCCCGCCTGCTGCGGGGGACCAGGCTCGGCTGCTGAGCCATCGCCTCCTGCCGTACCCTGAGTTGTTACAAGCGCTCCGGAGGGGTTTCTTCGCGGCTGCCTGGCTGCGGCATTGCTTTCAGGATGTGTCTGTGTCCGGGTGAGCTGCCTGCGGCTGGAATTTTGGGGGGGTTGGTTTGGAGCGGGGGGAAGCTCTTTGCTCGCGGCGTGGCGGAGCCGGGGCAGCCCGGCGTGTGCGGGGCCCGGTGCTGCGCGGGAGCCGCCGCGTCCCGGCCGCCGCTGAGCGCGCATCGTGGCGAGGGTCGGATCGCTCTGCTGGGGTTTACGCAGTGGAGGGGGGTGGGGAGGAATTTGTTAGATAATTTTTGAAAAATCCCGTGCTCTCAAGGGTACAGCTCTTTTCTGGCAGCAACTGCAAAAGACCGATTCGTTGCAGTTTAGCAGTAAAAGCTGACAATACACCTACGCGCGTATGTGAGTGTCTTATATAATACTTACGGGTTTTTTTTTTAAACAGGCGTAAGCAGGATTTATTTTTGGTTTGTAAAGTCTTGTGTGGTTGCAGCTTGCAGAATTAGCGAAATATTCAATTTGCTCAACAAAGATTTATTTTACGCTCTTTTAAAAACATGGAATTTTTTAATAATAACTTTATTTCATTCCGACGACGTGCTTTGAGCTTAGTGTAAAGGCCATCTGTACTGGAGCAAGCAGTTAAGGGAGGGGAAGAGAGAAAAAGAAATGTCCTAATGCAGAGACTATTAGGTTGTTTAGAGGGCGAGACTGCAGTTCCAAGCAGCAACAGCAGCAGCTTTATGACTGTGTGTAATTACAGAGTGATTGCATAGGACAGCATTGTTGGAACGAATACGTATACACAGGCTATTGTGCAAGATTTCTGTACCGAACAAAACCTAGTTTTGCATTGCAAATGCTAAAAAGAGAATGTGTTCTGCATTGAACTGCTACGTTCCTCTTAGACCGACTTCGTCATAGAATTAGAAGAGGAAGGTAGGAGAAGTGGAGTGAGGCTGATCGTAGAAATCACAGATCTGAAATACTCAGCAGTAATGCCACTAGCAGTTTCTGAAATCACAGCAGACAGAAATTGAAAGCTCATTGAATCTGCGGGTTCATGTTTCTAAAGTGATTATATACAAGGTGAAATTTAAGCAGGTTTGCTACAGTCCTGCACATTTAGCGTAATTCTTGCTCTCGTCTAATTTTTTGTGTGCTTGTGTGGGAAAAAGACCTGTGTTAAAATAAGCAACTGCAGTTCAGCTAGGTGGCTTGGAAATGGAGAGAAGAGCACCGGGGAGAGTTTCTGTGTCAGGCCACAAAAACTTAAGATCTTGAAAGAACTACCAGACCAGAGATTCGCTCAGGGCATGCTTTTTCAACTTAACTCAAAAGTTGCATGTGGTTCAGTGATCTTGTAGGCAGTGTTGGCTGAGGGATACTATGAGGCAGTGAGAAAGTGTGCCACTGACACTGTATTAGCAAGGCTCTTAACTAAGACTTTAAAGAACATCATAATTATTCCAAAGTTCTTGTGGGTACAACATAAGTTCCCTAAGATTTGTTTTTCAGAAATACTGGTCACCTCTTATTTTTATCAGCTTGGTTTTGTGAGTACTTGGAATTCATGACAGATCTGAAACATTTCAGATCTGCTGCTCAGAGACTGGCCTAACATTAGAGACAATTTTCTGGAAGTGTTATCTTCATCTATTATAGCTGATGTCTTAATAAATGCCACAAAGGCTTGTAAAGTATTTTGAGCACTGCAATGAAAAGTACTATAAAAATGGAAAGCTGCTTTAAAATTTCTTGGTGTTTAACTAAAATGTATTTTAGCTGAAGACACAGATCATACTATTGGTAGTTTCCTCAGGTTCTCAAGAAAATGCTTCATGTAAAATATATGTGGCTTTGTTAACAGATTGACAGGGTTTTTTGTGTTTTGTTTGTTGGTTTTTGGCTTTTTTTTGTCATTTGATAAATGATCTTAGTGATCCTTCTGTAGGTTTATTGGAGCATTTTGTTTCGATAAAACATACGAAACAAATAATGTGTGCATTACAGTAATGTTCTACTTGTAAATTTTTCTTGAAATTTTACTTCATGCCTTGACTAACTTGACAGTCTATGTTATACTGGATGTTTTGATGTCAAAAGTACCTCTGGAGTAGTTCTTAAAGATTTATTGAATCATTGGTGATAGTGATACAATATAGTCATTCCTTATGCTAAGTCTTTTGGTTTTCACAACCTATCTGGAGGGAGAGAGTTTTTGGCCAGGATTCTTTGGATGTGTATACAAAGGAGTAGGTAACTTGCACGTCCTTGAGTTGTCCTGTGGTTCTCGGTGGAATTAGTCATAGATATATATATACATTTGTGGGCATGTTAGCAAAATAAAGGTGTAGCTGTGCTAGCCTTTAACCCATCCAGGTGCATGCGAGTAGTGGTGATATGAAGTGATGAGGGCTGTAGCACAATGCAAGCTTTTCAAAACCTTGCATAAATGCTCCAAATGTTAGTTTACATTTTTGCATTTTCACTCTTACGGTCGCCTGTCAGTGGTGGCTGCGGAGCCACGGGAGATATTTTCAAGCCTGTTATCCCTTTCATGATACTCTTCTGTCAAGCTGCTAATCAAGCCCTTTAGCTGCCCCTGACTTGAGGACATGCAGCCTTTCTTTGGAAATGGCCACTTTGGTGGTGTATGTGCGGAGGTGTGCCCAGGCATGTAAGGAGACAAGAGGGACTGCCAGGAATCAGAGTGGAAATCTGGAAATCTGTCTAGCCTGTGGCCCTGTTTGCAAAGGTGTATATATTTTCTATATGCTTAGCAGTTCTTGAAGGATTTCTACTCAAGAAACTTACATAGCTTTCTGCTGAGCTTAGGTAAACATTTAACAAACACTTTTTTTTAACCAACTGATGAAATTGTGGAATAAGAATGTTGATAAGAGATAAGAGCTGATGTTTTTTTGTACCCTGTTTTTTGGGGGTGTTTTGTTTTTTTTGGTTTGGTTTGGTTTTATTTATTTATTTATTTATTTTTGGTCTGGACCATTGCATAAAATCTTAGTACTGGTTGCAGTAAATTACAGTTTTGCTAAAATTAAATGTAGTAAATATGCTCCAGTGCAATTAGTTACATTCTAAGAGACATGAAGTGAGAAGTAAACCGCTTTGAGTATTCATAGTGTGAAAGGGGGAGGTGAGGGAGGCAGGAGCTCTGGTGGTGAGGTTTTGCAATACATGCCCAAAAAGCTGCAGGTTCTGGCAGGAGCCAGCCAAGGCTCATGAGTCACATCCAAAGGGAAGACTTGTCACTGAGCAATTTGTAAAATAGGAGGGATGAACTGCTAATTCAAGGAAATATCCTGAGGACCTTCCCTAATAATTGCAAGTGTGGCAGAGAGCTTTATGTCAGACGAGAGTTGCTTGTGCTTTGAATTACACGTTCCCCCGGTGTGATTTGAGCCTTCATACTAAGAAATCCTCGTTATGCACTGCAGACGTCCCTGAAAGAGGTGCTTGGTCAAGTAATAATTTGAGTTTTTGTAGCTGCATAGCAGCCGCTTGCATTCCGTGTGGAAGCTCCAGCAGCTCGCAGTGCACAAATGGCACGTGTCTGCAGCAGGAGGCTGCTCCAGGAGCGCTCCACAGCGCTTTGCACAGCTTCTGCTGCTGAGCGGGCTCCAGCTGCACTGCTGATCGACTCCGGTCACTGAAGAAGTTATGAGGGAAAGCTCTACTCTGCACACCGGGAAAAAGTGTGAATACATGCATTTTGAAAGCAGTCCATGTATTTAGGAGCAACCGTTCGAATGTGGATGCAGAGATGATCTAGTTAATTATTAAATCTTGCTTTGCAGGCTCTCTTGAAGCTTTTTATTGTATTTTGTGCAACTGACAGCCACCAGATAACAAGGCTTAAATTAATATAATTCATTAATCTGTATACAATGTGATGTACAGATATTCTTTGAAATGTACATACCCCAAAATTAATGTTCTTTTTATGTACAAGTAAACTACATGATTGCCCCATGTTGAATTGATGGCTGGTGTTAATCAAGAAGTTGAAAACTGGGAAAAGCTAGATTGGGAGGGCGTGGCCCTCAGTGTTAATTCAGTTAATTTTTTGCTTGTTCTTAAAGACAATTTGAAAGGCTTACAGCAAAGCATAGAATAATGTTTTCCTTTTTACCTTTAATTAGTGAGAATTAATGTTTATGTTCTGTATAGTTTGACTTTAGCATTGGTAAGGATTGAAACAAGTTAAGTGCTATTAGTACCTGAAGTAGTAAACTGAGAAACAGTTCTGATATCTTTTTTACTAAATACTTTAGTGATAGATTACATGTTCAGAGCTGGGATGTAAAGAGACAGGAAGAGGAATCAAGTCAGTGTTCAGGCTTTGTTTTTTCTTTGCTGCCTATTATCTTCTCACATTGATTCTCAGTCGCTTGGCTTTCCCCATCATAGGAGAGATTACAGTACAATGATATATATTGGTGTATCCTCCTGTCATTTGTTTTAAGAAGACAAATTAAATGTTTGTGTATATTTATATGTATATACACCATTTGTTATATACACTCACTCATATCTCATTTTATAACTTAGTTCCCCTGAGAACAAAAGTTTCTTTTCCTTGTGATGCTAGAGTAGTTTGGGAAGTTTGGTTTGGTTTGGTTTTTTTTTTTAAA